CCATCTGCTGTCTGAACTTAAAGAGACAGCGTGCCGACACACTCACTGTCCCGCAACACACACACTCTCCCTCCCCCCCCACTTCTGTGGGATTCTTGTGTTAGTGCTCAGCACTGTCAGTTTGATCATATAAAGTGCAAACCCTTCCCAAAGCACCCTGTGGCCAACTGCCCAGTGGGATAGCTACCCACAGTGCACTGCTCTCTGTGTCGATGCAAGAGCTGCTAGTGTGGATGCGCTCCCACTGACACAAGGAGCATAGTGTGGACATGCAACAGCGGGGGCTGTACGTCGGCGTAACTTGTGTCGACAAAATTCTGTAGTGTAGACAAGGCAGAGAGCAAACTCAGCTGCTGCTCACAACAACTCCCTCAGAAAGACCCTACACTCCAAAATTAACAACAGAGCATTTCTTCAAAGTCTGAACTGTGTTCGCCTGCTCTGTAAAGTGATTTGTAGCATCGCCATCTGGTGACTCTTGCCCTAATTGTATTACTGTAGGGTTTTCAGGCCCCAACAAGATCAGGGACCCAGGGTGCTAGGCAAAGGACAGGCCCAGCCCCAAAGATCTTACAGTCTAAATAAACAGGCCAGGCAAAGCTGAGGAGGGAAAACAGAGAAATGAAGTGATTTGCCTGAGGTCACAGAGCAGAGAATAAAATCAAGGTCTTCAATCTCCTAGTCCAGTGTCAAGACAATTACTCCAGTGCCTACCTCACTAGCCTGTCACTTACAATAATGAAGTATATTTGATTACCCTGCTTTCCTATGGGAATAATCAGTTTCAGACCCATCAGCCAGAACTAATTAATTCCTGCTAAAGTTTGGGGAGCATTGAAGGTGATTAGCCACCACTCCTTTTCTGTCAAGTATCAGAGGGGTAGCCGTGTTAGTCTGAATCTGTAAAAAGCAACAGAAGAAGTGAGGTTCTTACCCACGAAAGCTTATGCTCCCAATACATCTGTTAGTCTCAAAGGTGCCACAGGACCCTCTGTTGCTTTTCACTCCTTTTCTATCATTGTAAGGACAAAGAGCTAGCAATATGCAGCAATTTAGAACCTGACTTTTCCAATTAAGGATTTGACTTGTTTTTAAGTCTTTTAAATGACAATATTTGTCAAGCTGTTTGTTCAGCGAATTGTCTGTGTGTGCAGTTATACAAGAATTGGTTTAATTAAGGTTAATTGGTCCATAATTAGAGCTGCTGCCAGCACAAAAGGAATGGCTGCAGAGTTGAGAGAGTCCATTTATATCCAACTCTGGAGGACAAAAACCGAGAAGAGCTAAGCTGCTGGAAACTGGTAATTGTTTAATATGTTAGAACAGGTTTTTGTTAAGTATTATTTTTAGCTTTGTGGAGGTTTCCCCCCTTGATTTTATTGGCTGTGTTGTGTAGCTAAGCCCCCTATCCCTGTATGTACTAGCCAACAAACCTATTTTGACCAATGTAAGGTGTTTAGGGTTGAACATAATCAGTTAGACAATGGTTCTCCCATCTTTTCAGTCTCCCTCTTAATGAAGGATTGTGTGTAACTTCAGCAGGGCTTTAATTCAGCTGGAGCAGAGGGCTGGTAAATGGTTTTAACCCTTGACTCCAGTTCGATGTTGTTGGTTTTCAACTGGGAGTCCTTGGCCCCCAAGGAGCTGCAAGCTGGTTTCAGGGGACCGGTGGGGCCCCATGGGGCTGGAGCCCCAAGTGGCAGGGGGGTGATATAGGGGACTCTAGGAAATACTCTGAGAATTTAAACCCTGAACTTTAGAGTTCAATGTACGGTGTTATGGGGCACAACTTCCATTCATGGAAGGCAGGAATTGGTTAATGGGCTACTGAAGGCCCTATCAGTCCAAATGGGGACCTCTGGGGCAGGAGCCAGGCTTTCACTGAGATGCTTTAGAGGAAGAGCCCAGCTCAGGTGGAGGGGGCAGGCAGAGACAGTGGATGTGGGGCCTTCACGGTGGGAGGGAAGGCTGGCCAGGACCAGCAGATTTCCTGGAGGTAAGGGAAGAGTTTGTGTTGTTTCATGCTTGTTTTGGACTTTGAGTGCCCTGGAAGGTGCACACTCGTAAAAGTAAGGCTTAGCTGGAGGGTTAAGTCTGTGCAGCCCAGAAGGTATTGGAGGTGGTGTGGAGTAGCGGAAGACCAGGTGGGAAACTGAAGCTGAATGCTGTACCACACAGTGCTGCAAGGCAGTGCTCCGGTAAGGACGTGCAGTAACATATATGAATATTAGACCTAGGCCTTGACAATGCAGGAAGCAACAGAGTGGGGGAGATGTAATGGAGGAAAAAAAGGGGGACAGCTGCTCTGGAATGACTGATGTATGTGACCTGTCCTGCTGTGCCATCCTAGTGGAGGCAACAAGGCCCTGTAGTGATTACCACAAAGTAAACTAGGTGAGGGCAGCCACGGGCGGGCGTATAGCGCTGACCTCACCTAGCTACTTTGGAGAAACTATGGTGCATTAGTCACTTCCCTGTAACTGGCTCCCTACTCCCTGCGCACAACACACCCCAAAGGATCAGTGCCCTCCACTAGCTGCTGTGTGGGGCTCAGCCGGCTCCCCCATCCCATCAGCCAAAGGGTAAGAGACACTTCAGGCTTCATTCCTGACTAGCCAAGGTGTGCATCGGTCCCCCACCACGTTACCTCCGAGATGACCCTGCTGCATGCCAGGAATAACACTTGAAAGGTCTATGCATCCCTCTGTCTTTCATTGGGCAGGAAGGATGATCCGGTGGTTAGAGTGCGAGCCTGAGATTTGGGAGACTCAGGTTCAATTCCCTGCTCTTCTACGGACTCTGTAACTTGTGGCAAATCTATTTAACTATCTGTAAAATGAGGCTCACAGCACTTCCCAGCCTCAAGGGTGTGTCTGGAGGACAAATACACTAAAGATTGTGAGGGGCTCAGATACTGTGATAATGGAGACTGGCCCCTTTAAGGGGAGATGGGGGGGGTCAGACACCCTATGCCGTTATGGATTAGCTGCCTCCCAGCCTGGGTCACGGAGAGGAAGGAGGGCCAGGAGAGCATGAGGCCAATGTGGAGTTGGAACTACGGGGAGTGGACAGGCTCCCGTGGAAGGCCCTGAGGCTGGGTGCTTCAGAGGGATGTGCCTGGGGACCTAGTGCTCTGCACCAGAGCCAGACAAATTCACACAAGTACTCTAGGAAGGGGTTGGGAAAAGGGCCCAGCAGAGGGATGGCCTGAAGAAAAGCCCCAGAGGGGCAGAAGAACCTTTTTGTTTGTTGGGACTCCTAACCCTTTTCTGGAGTAACAAGTTAGTCTCCGGCTTAGCTGGAGGGCTAAGCCACATCTCCAGCACAAACCAGTCTGTGGAGAGCGGAGGAGACCCATCTTGGGGAAGGGAAACTCCTCTTCCCATTGATCTTCCATTTAAGTGCCCAACTATATGCAAACTGGCCTTTTAGGTACCTTATGTGGCTTTGAAAATGGCAGTCAATGCATTTTAAAAAAATCATGAAATAAAACCAAATAATGTTTGACTATAGCTATTAATATTCAGACGACTTTGAAGTGAAGTGTAAAGTTGGAGTGTAGGAGGGGGATTTCCTGCTTCTACTGCAATTTGTTTCCTTCTCTGGCTTATTATTTATTTGTACTATTTTAGCGTTGAGTGCCCCCAGTCAGGATCAGAGTCTCTTTGTGCTAAGAGTAAAAGAAAACCCTTCTCTTACTAGTGAGAACTTATTCCCAGCTCATAAGGATATTACTGAACACTCTTCCATCCCCCCCTGCATTTGCAAATCACCAACTGACCTGAATGTCCAGAGAGGTTTCCCAGGGAAAGACATCACCACCTCCCACTGGAAAAACTTCATTCTTTTCCACCCCCATTCCCCCATCTTGCAAATTACTTACTGTTATTGCGGTAGAAAGAGAAACTGGAGATCATCTTAGCGCACAAGAGCTGTCTGTCCACTCAGAATGGAGCAAAATGGTCTGCAGCAAGATATTTCTGAAAGAAAAATCTTTTTTGGCACATTTCCCTCAAATGTCACCTTGCAGCAATCCTCACACTTTCCAAGGCCCAGGGCAAACAGCATATGCTGTTGCATCAGAAATGAGTCATGTTTTTTAAAATGCAAAATGGTCATATTTAGTGGATGTTCTGGTGTGTTGTTAGATGTACCAGAAATGCTGCAAATCTCTAGTGGTGTGAAATGGAAACATGTCGGTACAAATTCTGGAGAAGTCTGTTTTTAAAGGCAGAATTGCCTGGATGGATGGTTTTGCAGTTAGAACTAGAGCTGATCAGAAACTCTTCAAAAATTTCCATGAGAAAAACACATTTTTCCATGAATGTTTTCTTCCCCTTCCCCCTCCCCCTTTTCTGACCAGGTCTAAGTAAGATACAGGACAGGGTTACAGGACCTGGGTTCTGTTCTGGCTCTGCCACAGATTTTCTGTGTAGCCTTTGGCAAGTCACACAGGGCTTCTCTACATGGTGGGTAACAAGGGCCACTGAGATGTGAGTTCTAAAGCACACCAGTGTGTTACATGCTAACTGGCCAGTGTAGGCCCAATGACTCACACTAAAAGTTCCCTAGTGCACACTAATGCCATATGCATTAACTGTTTCAATATAGCAGGGTCTACATAGGCTGGTTAGCACGTAACACTTTGGTGTGCTTTAGAACTCTCATCTCAGTGGCACTTGTTACCACTCCATGTAGACAAGCCCTTATTCTGTGTTTTGATTCCTCACTTTTATGCTTCCTTTTCCCCCACTGTTTTGTCTGTTTTAATTGTAGACCCTTTGGTATACTTTAATTGTAAACTCTTGAGGGGCAAGGACTGTCATTTATTTTCCTTTCAAATTTGGGTGCTGGAAGCTAGATAACAAAATCCGTATTTAGACACCCAAGTGACTGGTCTGTTTTTGCATTAGTCGCTCTTCACTTCTGCAGGAGCTGTCTGGTCGGCTCCTGTGAAAATCAGACTATTTAAGTGCTTAAATATGAAATGAAGTGTTTAATTTCAGGCACCCGAGTTCAGAAATGTTAGTCTATGCCTCTGTGTCCCCCTCCACTGTAAAATGTACTTCCCTTCCTCCAAGTGTGTTGTAAGGCCTCTGTTAAGCCATGCGAAGAGTGCCATTGATGTTAATGACTGCACATGTTTAAGTACCTTGCTGAATGGGGCCCTTTGATATCCTTGAACAGAACTCACTAAGGGCCTGATCCAAAACCCACTGAAGTCAACGGATTCCCATTGACTTAAATAGGCTTGCAAAGTAGTATTGTAACTTTTCAGTTGGAGTTGTGTAAGAAGCCAACTGAGTGTTTGCCAAGTCCTGATCCAAATCCAAGGACAAATTCACTTCCAAGCTGGTCTCTTGACCTGTAAGTGCTGCAGCTTTAACAAATTCATTAAGTGAGAAAGTGCAGGGGTAGGGAAAGAAAATATTACATGACTCAGCCACACACGTTCTGTAGGTGACTGCAGGTTGCTGAGCTGCAGGGAACAATTAAGTAAGAGCTTCCAAGGGAGCAGAGCAATGAAATAAGAGTGTAATAAAAGCAAAGGCATCAATGCACACATGAACGAGAAAAGTAGCTTTGCTAAAGAGTCCTTGGTAGCCAGGTGGAACTGAAAATAAGGGTGAACGTCTTTACTAGTGGGGGAGTATTCTTATTATTTTTATTTTTATTATTATAGTTTTTTATTGTGTGCTCTGGTTTATACAGGCTTTTTTTCCCCAAGCAGGTAGGTTCACTACAGAATTACAGAGGAGTCTCTTCACTCCATCCAGCACTGAAATGCAGTCTCTGGGAAAGCCCACAGTAGCCATTATAACTCTCTAGTAGTTTGAAGACAATAAAATGGTGAAGAACGCATCATCCAGTTGAAGCGACAAGGGGATTTTAAGCAGTTAAAATAGAGTGTTCCAAATTGGAATTTGGCCACTAATCCTGGTATTAACAAATCCCCCAGACAGCCTTCAAAATAATCCAGCAAGGAAACAGAAGATAAACTTACACCACAGCAACATTCTGCTATAAGAAGCTACTTCGTGCATAGGCAAACAAGTGACTTTCTGTCTCTACTGGAAACTGTGAAGGGCTGAGTAAGTTTTGAAAAAAAAGCCTGTTAGAGGTGAAACCAGTTTTCCAAATTATTTTTATATTTGAAGGGCTGGATTGTTATCTGGTGTAAATTGGCATAGAGCCACTGATTGGCAAGCAGTTGGACTGGCTCAGGCTCTGGCCCTAAAAAGAATAGAGAACAAGGTTCTGCACAGCAAAAAATGGCTCTACCCTTGTTTCAATTTCCAGCAACAACATCCCAGAGAAAGGAAGGGCGGCCAGCTTGTTTAACAGACTGTACTTCATTACAGGGCTGGAGAACAGCCCCTCAAAGGGTATCGAATGTGACGTAGGTTCCTCACAGTCAAGTGAGCAGCCTCTTCTTTTTATTATTATTATTATTATTGATTTCAAGATCTCACACACAAATTGGCTTTGCAAGATGACCGTGAGTGCAGAAGAACCAAGTAACAAATTTAAGAGTGGATCAATACTGCCAGAGCAAAAACATTAGGAACATAATTAAGAAGAACCTAGTGTCTATGGGCCTCCATGTGGGGAAAAGTCCATGTAGGGACCAGGAAACTCTTAGCTTTAATTCACAGTATTTCCTTCACCATTTACATCTGGAGGGCAGGGTTTCCTTCTGGCAAATATGGTAAAACACACCATACACGTGACTGTTCTTAGATCCATGTGTGGATCTAGCAGGATTTGGTCCTCTACGAAGGACCACGTGATAGGATGAGCATCTCCTCACGGGGGGAGCACAGAAGTAGGCCTCTGAGTGGGGCGGAAGAAAGGGACAAATTCTCAGGAGGCTCATTTTAGGCCAGGAATTGGGATTCTGACATCTCTGTGCCTTGGTTGAAGGGTCCCTGAGAACAGATCTCCCATGAATGGGGGGAAGCACCTCGTGTCTAATTTGTTGTGTGAGGGCTGAATTGGCAGTGAGACCATCACCAGCAGAGGGGATAGTTCTGGTGGGCTTGATTTCAGAGAGGGAGAGCATTCCAGAGGGCTGTGGACGCCGGGCGAGGCTGGGTGGCGTGCCCTATGGAGTTGTTTGCGCTAAATTCACACGCTGGGGTGGAGGTTTCCTTTCCTGAATGCCAACGTACATTTGCTAAGAGCCCTGTGGTTCTTGATGTTCAGCAGTGGATTATCATTATCAGTCTCTTACAAGGGCTGTGCGTTTGTCAATAAAAGGCCGGGGATTTTGAATTTGTTTTAAGCAGGGGCAGAATTCACAGCCAGAACCTATAGAAGCAAAGGAACAGGGCAGGGTAACCCAAAGGACCTGATTCTCCTCTCCCTCTGGTATAAATCGGGAACCACTTCACTGAAGTCAGTGGAGTTACACCAGGGTAAAAACTGGGGACACTGGAGAATTTGGCCACAGTGTCTCTATGGTTATCCTCCTGGCTGGCTGTTACTCCAGCACCCTATAGCGCACAGATAGGGGTGCCCAGGTAACACAGTATTATCATCCACAGAGAAGTCCCTGCAGTATCGAGGAATAGAAAATGCCTCTCACCTTGCTCCCTCACAAGCTCAGGTGAGAGAGGAACATGCTGCATAGCAGCTGCTCTCACATTTCTGCAGTTGCTGGCTGGCTTCCCCTTTGTCTGCTTCCCTCCTCCCATGTTAGTGGAGGAGGGGAATGTCAGACTGTGGAAAGCATAGCAATTAAGCCGACTGTCTCTTGACAGATGTTTGCTGTTCCATATATAGTTTTCTTCAGTATAGATGCAATTTCTCAATGACATTTCTCTCCTTTAATAAATGTGTTGGCTGAGTATGGTATTTAATACACTCTGCTGACTGAATCTCACACCCAGGCCATTTCATAAAAACCAAGTTCATTTATGGCTCTCTTTTTCATAGACTGAAGTTCAGAATTGAACGTATGTCCCTGGGTGATTGTAAAGTCTGTTTGTTGATTCAGGGTCCCCTTTAAATGTTGCTGGCTTATGGGTGACCCTGTCTGCTGATCCCAGTCAATAACATACTCCCTTTGTGTTTCTGAAGATAGCTCCCCAGAATGAAAATCAGTGCTAATTGTGTTTTCACACCCCAGCCTCCTGCTAATCGGAATCTTCATATTTTCCACAGAATGATGGGGGGGGGAAACCTATCCTGAGATACGAATGGGTTATTTATACCTTTAGTAGTATGTTCCAGTTATATTAGCCCTTACATCTACCCATTGGATTATGCATTTTGTTCTGCTCCTTAGGTGGCTCTTACCACATTCATATGGCAGGGCTTATGTACATTCACTAACAAGTGCATTAAAAACAAAATGTACACTGTATCTAATGGTTACTGTAGCCTGTGTAATGAATCCCATATTAAGCTACCACCCAGGGACCAGTTAAAACCACGTGCCTAATTTAAAAAAAGATGCTTAACTAAATCCAAGTTAAATTGTATTGGACTTTGAAGTGATCACTTATGAGAAGAATGTATATTGGCTCAGATCTTCAGCTAAGGAATGACCAGTGCAGGTTAGGACTGGGTCATGCAAAGGTGGCAAAATGGTTTGGTGTCTTTTCCATGGGGAACTTCAGTTTTTCAGTGAAAATCTGAATACAAAAAGATTTGTTTGGAAATGTTGTTGCAGCACCTCATTTTATACTCCCAGGGTACACTTCCCCACCCCCACCCCCCCGACCCCACAGAAAACAAAACGACAAACAGGGCAGCCACTCTGAAAGCCTGGGTCAACAGATGTGGGCCCGCACTAAAAATAGACACTGTTGGTGTACACCAAGTTCCCTAGTGTAGACATTCTTGCTTGGCTGGAGCCTGTGCTCTGAGACTCACCTCCCTTGCCAGATATCAGAGCCCTGGCTCCAGCCAAGAGAGGTGGGTCTCCGAGCCCAAGCTCTAGTCGAAGCGGGAAAGCTTACACTACCATTTTTAGACCTGGAGCGTGAGCCTGAGTCAGTTGACCTAGACTCTGAGACTTGCTGCGGTGGGCTCTTTTTCAGTGTGGCCATACCTCCCCATTCTCTTCCATAGGCTGGGCTCCCAGGGTGCACCATGATCTTGGAGGGGGAAGGTGTAGCCAAGGATTACCAAGGCATAGGGAAGCTCTGACCATGCCCATTTTTCCCAATTGCAGTGAGCAGGGATTAGGAGCCTTGATCTAAACAAAGGATTCCTTTTCACTGAGTGTTCCTTCAGTGGTCTGTCTGTCTGCCAGCTTTAGGACCTGTTTGTGGTGTTCGAGAAAACCTTAGTCTTAGTTTGTGCTCCAATTAGTCTTTAATTTTTAGGTTGCAGACTCAGTA